TTTGATAGTTAACAAAAACGCTTCGTTCATTAAGTCCAGAGAGCTGAAAGAGTGTGTGTAAAATGAGTCTTAGAGGTGGAGAATTAGGACTTTAAAAGTCTGTATTCTGACTTGTCTTAAGCTGTAAGAAGAATGCAAACAATTGGAGCGTACCATTTCATCATAACCCTGCACTTTGACCTTCTTGAATATGTCAGTCGCAGTCCGTTACAGCAAAAATAAGTACGCAATTTGAAATAGAGCCGTCATAAGGTTGACTTATGTCTTTGATCTCTCTGCGGCTCACTCCATGTGACTTAAAAGAAAATGCAGTGATACATTTAGATGTTTTCAATGACCTAAAGTCCTACAAATTAAGCAGTAAACCTACATTTATGTATAACAGAGAAAGGAAGGAAACCATCATATACAATAGGTCAAAATCTAGAAAACGTAAACCACACATCTATTATCTTTATACTTGGCAACTAATCTTCTATTGATCAGTTATTGACTAATTGTTGACCCACGTATAAACATAAACTCATGTGTAATTTGGAGTTTGCTGGAACAGTGACATTGAGGCAGGATCCACGGCATGACCGCAGATTTTCTGAACCCAGCATTTTAACACAGAAGTGACAGCGTCTGACATGGTCTCTTTTTGCTTTGTAAGGGGCGGGCTGTCAGTTTATATTCTGATCACTGAGGAGATTCAGTTTTAGCAGATTAGGCTTTCAAGAATTTGGAACATACATTTATAAAGCTCCTTTTAAGTTGGATACAATCATTGTAATCCCTTCTCTATTCACATCATTAAAGGGTTTTTAGATTTCTAAAGCCTAGCTTGATGTCTTGACTTTTTCTTTTATTCTTGTGGAAATAATGTTAGTCCTAAGGGGATTTGCCAAAACTATCCTGCAAACCAGATGCTTTAAATCATATTTTAAATAAAAGGTTATATAATATGTCACACTAAGGCTGCATCTATTCAGTGGAGAGTGCAGAGAGCAGCCTCAAGGGAGTGTGCTGCTGTCAAGTTAGATAGACAGGCTCCACATGATGGTTTATTACACAGTAAATGTCTCATGGCAGTGGTCATTTTTAGATATAGTCTAGAAGTCATGTTAGAGTTCAACCTTTTTGGCTTGTGGCCTTCATAAACAAAGATGTACCTTAAATGATAGCAGCGCGGCTCTGGGTTGGGTGAAGCCAGGATTTCGGTCAATCTTCCCGCCTGAAAAACACAGAAATCTCAACAACTGGTGGATGTATTGAAATCAAAATGTGTGACATTCATGATCACCAGATGATGAATCCTGTTGACTAGTGATCCTCTGACTTAGACTCTAACGGCACCATGTCTAGCATTACAAAAAAAAGCTTTGCATTGCAATGAAATTATGTTCCGATTTTTACGTCTATTGTTTCTGTACTTTTGTTTATGACCTGAAACCTGGAAAGCTAATGTCATTCGTCATTCCCCACTAGCCTCAGGTGTACTTTAGTGCTAATCAGCAGATATTATGCTAACACATTGCATCCTGGTCTCACCAAAATACGTGAAATGACTACGACCCCTTAACACCGCAGTAAAAACTAAGATGGTCAACACAAAGCATGAACATGGTGAGCAACATACCTGCTAAAACATCAGCATGCTAGCATCTTCTTTGTGACCACCCTGCTGCCATTAGCATTTAGCTCAATGTACCATGATGCTAAAAGTAGTGAGCAATTCCGGATAATTGATGCATAACAAACAAGTCCCAGAGGGAACCTCTCTTGTGGGCAGATTCCAGATGACTAAGAAAGGGCAAGTTGGGCTTAAGTCAATACAATAAATTATGTGGCTGAAATAGTTGCAGACAAATCCATAAGCACACACAAACACACAAAAGTTCTGGTCCCAACCCAGGGTCAAAGGTCGGACGTGTTTTATGTCAGTAACACAGGATTAATCACTGGAAACCAGCCAGGACCTTGCATCCTGAACATTTACTCAGATGGAGACAGATGGTTAATTTAAAGGGGACCTATCACGCAAAATGCACTTTTTGATGTCTTTTATACATAAATGTGTCCCCGGTGTGTCGGGGAACTCAAGCAGCGTCAGAAAATAAAACCCTTTCTCTTTTCCTCCGTACCCAAATCTTTTAAAAACAGATGTACAACGAGCAGATACAGATTTGCTGCCGATATGACGTCAAATCGGCAGCGGACCCACAGAAAGTTGCTATCAGAAACAATGCTTGACGTGTTTTTGACGTAATCTCGTCTGTGTTCACATTAGCAAGCCTCGCTAACACTCAGAGCTAATCTGTACTGAAGACCACATGTGTT